CGTTTAGTGTATATCTCATGAATGTACTCACGGTAGCTTCTTTGCAATTGGGTTCCAAAGACGAAATTTGGTGCGTAAATTTTTATAAAAAACATATTTTTTGAGTCTAAAATTAAGAAAGTCCATTCAAATTCCGTGGAACCCCGCGTGATTTTAGTTTTTTTACGTGCCGGATCTAATGAGCCCATCCATGTTCAATTCCGTCCAATAAAACGGCGGATATAGGTACCTTGAATGTGGGAAAAACTGCAAAAACTTATTTTGACAAATTCGCGTAAATAATCGCGGGTTTCTTCGAATTAATTTTACATGCATTTATGCTTGTATTGTCAAATTAGCGAATCTGTGTGGAAATAGGTCAAAAATACTTCGATACGCGAATAATATGCGTATTTTATCCAAATTTGATTGTGGAGGCACATCCGCGGTTCTTAACCGATCCTTTTAAAATAGGTGTCCTTTTGCGTATTTTCATAGGAGATTACTTAAATCGGATGCGCATAAAAATCGTATGCACGTTGCGTGATTTTTAGCCATTTTTAGGCTTTTTGCATAGTAAAGTGCATCGAGTGGCATAAGTATTGAAAGACATTGATTCGGTTTTTACGAAAATCGCATGCGCATCAACTGATTTCAACTAATTCGCAAACTGCAAGCTTTTTAATATTGATAATTTTAATGTATTGTAAGTGCAATATATTTAGCCATTAATGACGTCGAAACTCTTATCAGATGAATCTACCGATATTTAACAATCATCTAAAAGAATTTACAGAAGAAAGCGTCGTATATTTTAGAAGATTAAGGCTAAACCGTATCCTCTTAACCATACTAAAACCAGTGAGCGGAGCAGTATAGTTGGACGGGGCCGACCATACGATACCCTACACAACTACCACGACCTCTAACTTTCTGAGGATGTTTATTCCGAGTTTGAGTAATATTTCGTGATATTGGCCCCCTCTTGTCCGATTAGAGGTCAACAACACCTCTTCCTTACTTTTTTCGAATATTCAGTACAGTCCTTCTAATTACTTGTCCAGATTATCTTCACGGTGGGTTGTGTTGTGATTTTCGGATTATGCTCTACTCGAAAACACACAAAAAATTATGTTTTCGGTCCATTTCATCCCAAAATTTTAATCTGATCATCACCGAAAATTGTAGGCGTTGTTCTTGACCATAACTGGAACTTCATGAAAAATTTCAAAGCCATCAGCGCTATATTTCTCCCTCTAATGTGGTAATGGGTTACTAAATAATATCTGAATACGTAAGCACCTGTAAATATTTGACTGTAACTCCCACATCTGAGTAGATACATCACTATATTTGGTATCAATTTAAAGGCCAACCACTCCTCTTGGATATGCTATCAACTCCTGGGGTCTACATTCTCCAGGAGTAAATATATATGTCATAGAATACAAATTTTGTCATTTTTCACACAAAAGTCAGGGTCCATTTGACCCGCTAAACATTGACCGATCTTTATCAAAACATGCATGCTTATTCTCTGGCCCGATTCCCTTCTCCATGCAAAAATTCGCGGTGTTTGGGCCATAATTGCGGTCTCTGGAGCGATCAGAAAAACCGACAAAAATTTAGTATTTGGTCCATTTCATCCCCTAAATATTAACCGATCTTTTCCAAAAACAATACTGTGGGTCTTACATTGGCCAGACACTCATCCTTCATGCTCAGTGTGATTTGACTAGTATGCAAGAAAACAATGGTGTTTAAGCATTTGTGAAGAAATTCGCGAATTACAACGAATAGGAATTCATTTAATTTGTATTTAAAATACAAGATTTAAAACCGCTATAACTTTTGTTCACAGCTTCCGAATTTGTGAACGCGAACAGATTTCGAATCAGCATATTTTTCTTAACCTATGTACCAAAAATCATAAATGTGCTCGCAAAAAACATTTTCAAAATTTTTTAATGGAATTTTAAAAGAATTTTGTAATTTCCCATATGAGCTATATGTAAATCTGATTTTTGCCAATTTCAATGGGGTTCGTCCTTGGGCCAAATAGATGAGCTGTGCCAATTTTATCCAAATCGAATCATAACTGCGACACGTACTTTGTTTACAATCTAACATGTACAGACAGACAGACGGATGAACATCCATAAATCGACTCAGAAAGTGATTCTAGGAATATTCAAAATCAATCAAAAGGAACCGTATGCACAAAGATAAGATGTATAAAAAGGAATATTGAGTTGTAGGTAGATTAGTGTTTTCTTTGAAAATAAAATTATAGTTAGACATGTTTAAATAGTTCTCAAATTCGCTAACGAAGTGGCGGACATATGCTAGTTTTTATATAAGCTTTAAACATAATAAAATTATTAACAAAAACAATTTTTACTGTGCTGCATGCTATTGTTGCATGGAGTGTAACTTGATAAAAATTATCAAATGTTAACTCCAATTAATATTTGGTTACCTACTAAGGATTCTTGGGAAACCCAAAAATCAAATTTTGGCTCTGCCAGATAAGCGTTTTTAAAATGTGTCCAAAATCATCAATAATATTTAGCGGGAAGATTGAGTACCCATTTAGAAACAAACATACCAAATTTTAGAAAATTCGATCGAATAACTTGTTTAAAATTTTTAAGATATCGAAATTTGGAGGTACTGTTATTGAGGGCTACCTATAATTTTCGTTCACTTTCACGCAAATTGTGCACCAAATAACAACCAATTTTTTATTTATTTTAAAATTTGGACAACGTGCTTTGCTCCAGCATACCGAATGACGTATGCAAATTGTGCTTCAAATCGTTTTCATGCATATTTATATAGTTATATTTATATAGTTATATAGTTTTCATGCATATTTTTGCTCGATTTCATAAAAATTGTACACAAATTGTTGGCATGCAATTTATACATAGATTTCAGAATGGCATGTGCATAGATTGATTTAAGGGAACCCCACCCATTCTCGATTTTAATTTTTCAATTTTTGGGCACATATGGCGGGCATGATAACTCCTCACTGCAACATGGGAATCCGAAAATTCCAACGGCGTTAGAAAGAGTACATGTCTGGCTCCTGTATGAACTAGGATTATTGACTTCGCTCTAAAATTAACAAAATGGCGGACCTTTGAAAAAATATTTTTGGAAAATCGTCGATTTTTGACCAAAAACCAAGTTAAAAAACCAGTGAGCGGAGCAGTATAGGCGGACGGGGCCGATCATACGATACCCTACACAACTTCCATTAAAATCTAACTTTCTGTGGTTATATATTCTGAGATTGGGCAATATTTCGCAATATTTGCACACTTTTGAATGGCTAGTGGTCAGCAAATGTTACTAATAATCAGTACAGCCCCTCTAATTACCTGTCCAGATTCCATTCACCGTGGGTTGTGTTGTGATGTTCGGCTTTCGACTAGAAAAGCACAAATAATTAAGTTTTCGGTAAACTTTATCCGAAAAATTATTGTCTGATCATCACCTAGCATTTTGGTACAACGCCCTTGACCATATATAGCGATCAGCGCTATATTTCCGCCCTCCAGTGTGGTAATAGGTTACTAAATAATATATAAATACGTAAGCACCTGTAAATATTTGTGTGTAACTCCCGCATACGAGTACCTACGGCAATATAATTGGTATCAATTTAAAGGTCAATCACACCTCTACGGTACATTATCAACATTTTGGGTCTATGTCCTTCAGTGGTAAATATATACGCTATAGAATGCAAATTTTGTCATTTTTCACACAAAAGTTAGGGTCCATTTGACCCGCTAAATATTGACCGATCTTTATCAAAACAGGCATGCTTATTCTTTTGCCCGATCCCCTTCTCCATGCGAAAATTCGCGATGTTTGGGCCATAATTGGGGCCTCTGGAGCGACCAGAAAATCAGACAAAAATAAAGTTTTTGGTCCATTTCATCCCCTAAATAATAACCGATCTTTTCCAAAAATAATAGGGGTCTTCATTGGCCAGAACCCACCCTACATGCACAATTTCGTGAAGATTGGTCCATAACTGTGGCCTGTATCGTGTTTACAAATTATAATGGACAGACGGACGGACGGACACACATGTCTAGATCGACTCAGCCAGTCGAGATATGACGATCGGTATACTTAAAGTTGGGTCTAGGATCAATATTTCGCGGCGTTACAAACATTTGGGGCTGCACAAAGCTGTAATACCCTGACAACATAGTTGTGTAGGGTATAATAAGGAAGATCTTCACCGATTGGCTTTATCCTAGTTCATACGATAGCTATACACTCACAGAGGAACGCGTAAAAATTTGGAATCGATTGGGTTATTAGTTTTTGAGTTATCGTGCCCGCCATTCGCAAGAGAGAAAAACGCGTTTAAAGTTTGAGAAGCCCTTTAGCCGTCACTTGATGCTGATACAATACATCGGCTATATTTTCAAGAGTTCTTGAGATTTTCACTTGAAATGTTGTAGGGACATTCTTGAATTAGTGTAGAATCGAACTAAATCCAAAAAAATTTTGACCCCGAGAATGGCGGGGGGTCCCCTTAAATTGGTTTATACATATATTGGTTCATAAATTTATGTTTGTTCTATTGACAGGATATTGGACATAGGAGTTTCTTTGGTATGTACCCAAAGTGCTGACTTTTTGAATCTGCCTTATTTGGGTTTCCTTTGGAATTGCCACTTTTGTCAAAAATATATACAGATTTATATTAGGCAAATTTATTTCCAAAAAGAAATGCATATTTTCTCATAAAAGAAACAATTGAAAGATATTATCAAAATAATTTCTTATCGACAATAATAACACAATACACATTAATATAAAAACCAAACATTGTGTGAACAAAACAACAAAAACAAAACTTCATTATAATAAAAGGCAACATTTTATTTCATAAACAACAATTACAGCCAAACGTGTATGAATTTCATATACTGTTCCAACTCAGCTGCTGCCAACACAAATACCCACCTAATACCAGTTTGATATCATACTAATAACTCCTTCAGGACACCATTGTGTATAATCCAAGCATGCATTGTTGTCGTTGTTGCTATTTTCATTTTCGTTATCGTCCTCCATATTATTATTAGCCAAATATTTGCGGCCTTGCCATTCGGCGCGATACAGGTCTTCGTCGTTAATATCGTTATGCAGTTGTGGTGGCGATTCGGGTCGTGATGTTGTTGGCCTATTTAACATATAATCAAGAAATGATACCCAAATGAATAATTAGTATACAACAAAACAAAAGGGTATATGTGTGTATGTATATTAATATATGTTTGTATATAGGTATGTATATGAATAACTGAATGAATGGACAAGAATTTTAACACAGTGCAAAGTGATTGTGAACATTTTGTTATGCGAAAAAACCCAGACCCCACAATTTACATTTCGAAAGGCGTTAAAACAGAAGATGTATTTGAAAGATAAGACGAAGGGAAATGTTGCATTTAAATATATGTTTGGTAGGATATTATTTTACTTTGGACAGTAATGGACAGTGGTATGACGAGCCAAATGGAATTTTGTTGAGCCACATTCGTCTGCCCCAGTTTCAGCTTTTCGTAGATGTTGGACGTTTTCTCTTAAATTTTGTTTTAATATGGCATTCCCAGTTCATGGGACGTGAAACAAATATTTGCATACATTAAATTTTTTGACCTATTTCAAATATTTTAAATGTCCGCACAAATATTCTCGCAATATAAAGAATCTATATCTATATGAGGTCTACTAAAATCGTACATTTCAATTGGAAAGTTTGAAAGTTTATATCAAGTAGTACACATTACGGTTTGACGTACTACCATGTGTTGTGTTTTTTACAGGGTCTTGAAAAATCAGTTTGTCAAAATATGAAACTTCACTAGGAATTTCATGTGCTAATCGTTCACTGTTTTCGACGTGGATCGATATAAAAGAGTGTATCGTTGAAATTAAATATTTGTATGGCGTTTAAGACAACGGGAGATATACCTAAATCTGAACCTATTTTTCCCAATTATAAAATAGTTTCATAATTTTTTTAATTACTCTGAGAATCTATTAAAAAAGTGCTTATATATTTTTTTTAAGTTTTTGTTCTAAATTGTAGAACATTGAAACCTGCTATAAACCCGTTTTAAATCAGATTTCAATCATTTCTGGAAAAGGGACCGAAAATAGCCTTTTCAGAGAGTCGGCTGAGGGCTAAAGTATAATATTATTATAAGTATAATATTATTATACTACTATGCACATCTAGAAATATAAATACGAATATTTTTAAATGTCTTTAAAATTGGAAATACTGCTACGACTTGCCGATACACGAGCCATCTATTTCCCGATAGTTGTTGTTTGTGTTGCACAGTGTTATTATAAATTTGAAGTTTGCTAGGTATAGACCGCTCTGTATTCGTCATTCGGTTTATATTATGTATATATTTTAAATCAGACATTTCATTCGATTTAGATGAAATTTTGGATCAAGTCGTACATTTCATTTGTTGGGGAGGATTTGATCTGGGCTTGGTAAACATATTCCCTTCACTTCTAATGGGATTCATTATACCCTACACAACTATGTTGTCAGGGTATTATAGCTTTGTGCAACCCCAAGAGTTTGTAACGCCACGAAATATTGGTCCTAGACCCACCTTTAAGCATACCGATCGTCATATCTTGACCAGCTGAGTCGATCTAGACATGTGTGTCCGTCCGTCCATTATAATTTGTAAACACGATACAGCGCACAGTTATGGACCAATCTTCACGAAATTTTGCATATAGGATGGGTTCTGCCCAATGAAGACCCCTACTGTTTTTGATCGGTTAATATTTAAGGGATGAAATGGACCAAAAACTAAATTTTTGTCTGATTTTCTGGTCGCTCTATAGGCCGCAATTATGGCCCAAACACCGCGAATTTCTACATGGAGAAGGGGATTGGGCCAAAGTATAATCATGCCGGTTTTGATAACGATCGATCAATATTTAGCGGGTCAAATGGACCCTAACTTTTGTGTGAAAAATGACAAAATTTGTATTATATAGCGTATATATTCACTCCTGAATGACATAGAACCGAAAAGTTGATAGTATATCCAAGTGGTTGACCTTTAAATTGATACCAATTATATTGTCGTATGTACTCGGATGCGGGAGTTACATTTAAATATTTACAGGTGCTTACGTACTCAGATATTATTTAGTAACACATTAACACACTGGAGGCGGAAATACAGCGCTGATCGCTTTGAAAATTTCCATGAGGATCCAGGAATGGTCAAGGATAACTCCTATAATTTTCGGTGATGATCTTAATGAACTTAATTTTTTTGTGTTTTTTCTACTCCATATATAGTCCACAATTGAAAGTCGAACATCATAACACAACCCACCGTGAATGGAATCTGGACAAGTAATTAGAAGGGATTTACTGAATAATAGTAATATTTGTTGACCTCTAGTCGGTCAAGAGGGTGTAAATATAACGAAATATTTTCCATGCTCAGAATATATAACCACAGAAAGTTTGATTTTCATGGAAGTTGTGTAGGGTATCATATGGTCGGCCCCGTCCGACTATACTGCTTCGCTCACTGGTTTTTATAATATTGGATTACCAATTTTTGTGGGTGGAGATACCAGAAAGGGTGGACCGAAATTCCCCATAATCGAATTTAATCTACGTCTGGAAGAAATATTACAATGTGCAAAGCTTGGTTACTACCTACGAGAGTTATCGTGCTCACCAGTCAGTCAGACAGACGGACGAACACGCGATATTCATAGTAAATTTCCGTAGGTGGATCCTTGGGAGTTTGGTGCACCATTTAGCTCAAATCAGACTAAACTATATGTGGGAGCTGTATCTAAATCTCAACCGCAAAACTTAACAGACTTGTGCCTTTTTCGTTTCCTTTTTCCAGTTCAGTCATATGAACAAGGAGTATAAAGGATATAAATATGGTACTATATTGAAAGTATTTGAGGGGTTCTTCACTCTAAAAACTTGAAATAAGAAATTACGACTACTTCGGGAAATAAATGCGGGTTTTAACGAAGAATTGGCTTTTTCAGACAATTTCTCCTAAGAAACAGAAATACCAAGTTACAGACGTTCCGGTTGATAATTGTTTTGCAGAATATAAAATTCTGATACTGAAATACGACTAACACTTTGGGAAACTTTGAAAATTTCCACATAGTATGTGGAACATTTGAAAATTCGTGTGTATTGCGAGCTCTATCCTGAGTTCAACAGACAGACGGACATGTCAAAATTTATATGTATTGTGTGTATTCTGACCTGCAATGTATGCTTTATATAGTAGCTATCATGATATATATAGCCGATGAATGATTTTAACGTTTCAAAATGCAATACCACTGTCTTTTCCTTCCCTTTTAACTTTGGCAAATCCGCAAAATTTCACATATCTCCATTGTTTTTATGTCTTTTGAAAGTTTCCCCCACTCTGCTTAAGAAATAAAATTTAAAATTATCACAAAAAGAGGAAAAAGGCAAAACAATTCGTAATTACATGAATAAAATTTTCAAAATACTGCCCAAAACACCATTGTTTTCATCCATTGTTGATGCGGCCACTTCGCAAATCGTTCTCAGCAGACAACCGGTACCATTCATTTGATAGAGATCCAAATAACCAGTAAATGTGCGATAAAATGTACGACGGTCGTAACGTGGCAATAATCGTTGCTGGTCCGATGTATTGGCGGAGGGGGATCTTTTACTTTTGCTCCTTTTTAAATTTCGGTTATTAATGACTGTGACGTTGTTGCCAATACCCAAGTAGGTTTCATCTAAATCCCACTATTATTGCAAAGAAATGAGGAATGAAAAACAAAATAATTATGAAAAGGACTTTTGAGTTACAATAAAAAATTACAAGTAAATATTATTCACACCACTACACAAATAGAATCATAATCATAATAATCACAATGGTTTTCTCCGGCTACTCACCCTATCTATCCACTCATTGTAGGAATCATTCGATGGCAAACCATAATTGGACTCAAAATTAAAAGCCATGTAAATATTACGATTGGGCAAGTCCACTGGTATGGCCACAGCTGCCAAATACTGTCAATAAAAAGGATTTTTGTTCCAATGTGTTTTGTTTTTGTTCTCTCGTTGAGTCGTTTTGGCAAATTGGCTTGACAATTTCCTTACCCCAAATGATCCGCCTCTTGGATAGAATACACCAGCCCTAACGGGTGCAATTTTGTCCAAATACATGCAAATAATGGTAACCGCTAATAGTTGTGATGTTGTTGTTCGTCTTCTTTGTTTTGTTGGCCATATATGGGTCACTTGATGCAATGCCATTATCTGTGGTCGTTTTCGTCGTTGCTGCAACATTGTGTTTAAGTGTTGCTGCTGTCGTCGTCTGCTTTTGCCAATTGTTGGTAAGTAACTGTTGGTGGTAATTGTTGAAGTGCGGTTAATATAAGCCAAAAGGGTTTTGTGAACATTCTAAGACAATGTTGTGTGGATCATGAAAGAGAAATTATGGTGGCATTCGCATTACAGGGTAATAAAAAATTATTACCGCATTTTGTTGCAATAATCGTGGTAAAGTGAATAATAATATTTGTAACAGGTATTAATGGAATGTGTTAGTTATGCCCTACACAACTATGTTGTCAGGGTCATATCTCGACTAGCTGAGTCGATCTATTTAATATTTAGGGTATGAAATGGACCAAAAACTTTATTTTTGTCGGTTTTTCTGGTCACTCCAGAGGCCGCAATTATAGCCCAAACACTTTATCAAAACACCTGTTTTGATAAAGATCGGTCAATATTTAGCGGGTCAAATGGACCCCGACTTTTGTGTGAAAAATTACAAAATTTGTATTCTATGGGGTATATATTTGCACCTGAAGGTCCTAGACCCGAGAAGTTGATAATATGTTCAAGAGGAGTGGTTGACCTTTAAAATGATACCAATTATATTGTCGTATGTACTCGTATGCGGAACTTACACATAAATATTTACAGGTGCTTACGTATTCATATATTATTTAGTAACCCATTACCATACTAGAGGACGGAAATATAGCGCTGATCGCTTTGAAATTTGCCATGAGGTTCAAGTTATGGTCACCGACAACGCCTATAATTTTCGGTGATGATCAGATAATAATTTTGGGATGAAGTGGACCGAAAACTTATTTTTGGTGTTTTTTTTGAGTCGATCTATAGGCCAAAATTGAAAGCCGAACATTACAACACAACCCATGGTTAAGGGAATCTGGACAAGTGATTAGAAGGGCTGTACTGAATATTTTTAATATTTGTTGACCTCTAGTCGGTCAAGAGGGTGCAAATATGGCGAAATATTGCCCAAGCTCAGAATATAGAACCACAGAAAGTTATAGTTTCGTGGAAGTTGTGTAGGGTATCGTATGGTCGGCCCCGTCCGACTGTACTGCTCCGCTCACTGGTTATAATATAGGTTTTATTCTACATCAAGGTAGAACTTCTAGATTCTGTAAATTTTCATTGTATAGAGCATTTATTTCCTCCGAGAAGTCATTGCATCATATTGATTGATATTAATAGTATATAGATAAATGTGGTCTGGTACTGAAGATACGCTAATATATTGTCAAGGGCCATCATATTCTAAAATTAGAACAAAAAATGCACAAAAATTAAGTGTTTTTTATTGAACAGAAAAAATTATTATCTAATTCTCTTCCCACATGATTTATCATTCATATGTATACGTTTTTTAAAAAGCAGTAAGGAAATTAGTAAAGTCGGACGGCGCTACTATTGGGTGAACTAGAATATGTGATCTTTATTTAAATGTGAACCGACTTAGAAAAACCCATAAACATGTCATTCTGAAACTTATACCAAGGAAAAACTAAGTAAATCCTAACGCTAAACAAAAAAGAAATAAGCAGACTTACGGGCAATCTTACGGGACACCTCAGCCTGAAGGCACATCTACTTAAGATTGGCTACAGGTGCATATAGTGTGTGGAGAAGACAGTGAAACGCAGGATAATTTCCTGTGCCACTGCCTAGCATTTACATGCTTTCGAAAATAATTCGTGGGATATGGGATTATTAACCGACTAACCGATCTGAGGGGATTCTCAAAAAAACACAGAATTCCTGGAATTATAGGGGATCAAACCCAAGATGCTTAATCTAAAATTTCCCTAATTCCAACCTTCTCTTCATTTTAGAGCACACAAAATTGACACAAAATTTTGCACAGCGTACAAAATTGAGCATCATATAGTTGACCCGTCCGACTTTACTACTTTCCTTACTGGTTCTTTGTTGAACATGAAACTTATCAGAGATTAATTTATATTAACTTCAGTACGTTGTGTCAATCGGCCTAGCTATGGATCTTTAGTGCACCATTTACTTAAAATCGGACGGAAATATATATAGGGTTCGTCCTTGGGGCAAATAAATGAGCGGTGCCAAATTTCAGCCTAATCGGATAATAAATGCGACCTGTACTTTGTTTACAATTTAACATCAAAAGACGGACGGACGGACAGACGGACATGCATAAATCGACTTAGAAAGTGATTCTATGCATATTCTCAAAAGGAACCATGGGTCTATCTCGATTCCTTTTGCCTGTTACAAACATATGCACAAAGACATAATACCCTGTACCACAGTGTGGTGAAGGGTATAATTAAAATAAATAAAAACTGAAAGTTGGTTGGTCCGTAGTTAGCAATAAAGAAAGGGGTCTAAGTCCGCATTTAATTTTGGGTATGAAATAAACTAAAATTTCATATTTGTCTCTTTTGGTAATTGCTATAAAAGTCACAATTATGATCCGAATGTCACGAACATACATATAGAAGGAGATGTTAACGCTGTGCAACAAGGACGAAAAGGATAAAAAAGCAATCGAGCTATAAGGATGAAAATACAAAATAAAATAAAATAAAATAAAATGATGAAATGAAATCTCAAAAAAAAAATAAATAATTAAATTTATATGTATTAAGCTATCTCTTCAGATAAGATTGTTGTCAGCTAAAAAATTACCACACCATACCTCCGAACTTTTACCTACGGCGTTTTTTTCGTTCTGGAGAGAAATAGAAATTTAAATATCGAGAAATTTTAGACAGGTTCGGAATTTATAAATATATATGTACTACTAAAACAATTTGATATTATACATGTCATTACAAACCGATATTTCCTCACACGGAAATATACTGGCTTTCCTCATTAAAGCCCTCCGATGTTGTATTGCTCCTCTAGGTGAATTATCGACTATTGAGTTTGTATTTCAAATATTTATTTGATTTAAGAAATATTTAATGACGATACGACTATTTATTTGAAGATCTAAAGGAGATCATCTAAATTATGTACATAACTGTAATTAGGTCAAAGTCGAAGATCGGTAAGTAAACTTTCCATAGTTTCACACCCTATTTAATTTCGTAATCTTTACTTTTTGAAAGTTAATAACCTTGTATGGTTAATATTGTTATTAGGTTTTCCAATCAAAGCCTTTCTCTACTCATTTTGGTTTTATCCATTACATTTTAGAGTACCATTTAAATCGGTTCACCATCCCACAATACAAACCAAACAGTAGATTTTGTTTTTTAAAATTCGGAAGAAAATAAATAAGTAAATTTCTTATATTTAGGTGTTAATTACAGAAACTGGTTAACATACTTGACCAACACACACGACATCGTTTTTCATTTCAGTCATAATATTGGACTCACGTTTTCTGCGTTATATTGTAATGCTAAAATCATGAATGAAACGAAAGCAAATGGAAGTAGAACAACCTATTTTAGTTTTTACCGGAAATTTTAGTGGGTATCTAATTTAACACCTAGACAAATTTCGATATTTTGAAAGACAACCATTAAAAATAGCATAGACGACAACAATAGTCGACTTTAACATTGAATGATATAAAGTCTAAAAATATTTATTTATTTATGCAAATTACAAGTGAAATTTTTGTTTATCTCACTTTCACTTCTAGGTCACTTTATATAAGTCTCACAAGAGACTGACGTTAGCATTAAATGATATATCAATCCTTGAATTTTTCTGATGAAAGAGTTACTATGTGTAGAAAAGGATGGCAAACTGGTGGCTTAATGGAATTTCCTACCACACAATTTAAAAATAAATGATTCTTCTGAAATTAATTCTATTCTGTCCGGCGTCCTCTCCACCATTGGACATTCTAAATACATTACTTCTGACGGATATTTTGTACGAGCGAAAATCGGAAGCTATATTTATTATCATTTTATGAAAACTATATTTAACCCAGAATTTTTATACCCTCCACCATAGTATGGAGGAATATTCATTTTTTCGGTTCGTAACTCATCGAAATAATCATCTTCTATATATATAAAAGAGTTGCGTTATAAGTGACTGACTGATCATCAACGCCCAGACGAAACGGCTAAAGCTAGAAACTTGAAATTTGGAATGTAGGTCGGGTTTGGTGAGTAGGCGTGTGATAAGGCGGGGTTTTTGGAAATTCGTACTAAAAGGTACTAAAAAGTACTAAAAACTGCTTTACGGCGGAACGGTTAGAATTAGAACTTTGAAATTTGGCACGTAGGTTTGTCTATGACGAGCGAAGTGGTATTTATGAAAAAAATTTGGAATTTAGTACTAAATCCTAACAAGTACTAAACATTGTATTTTAATGGAATTTGTAGATATACATATCTGAAATTTGGTATGTAGCTTAGGCTATTACAAATAGAAATAAGTGCAAAAATATTTTTTGGAAATTAGTACAAAAAAGTACTAAAAAGTACTAATACTCTATTACGCCGGAAAGGTTAGATGGTGAACTCTGAAATTTGGTATGCAGCTTTGCCTACGATAAGCGAAGTGGTATGTGTGAAAAAATTTTGGAATTTAGTACTAAGAGGTACTAAAAAGTATTAAATATTATATTTAAATGGAATCGGTAGAGATACATATTGAAATTTTGTATGTAGAATAAGCTATGAAAACAAGAACGACGGGCACAAATATTTGTTGCAAATTAGTACTAAAATGGTACTAAAAAGTACTAAAACTGTATTTCGTTAGAAATACAGTTTTAGTTAGAAATAGAAATCTCAAACGTGGTATGTTGATTTAACTATTACAAATACTTTGCTGTGCATAATTTTTTGAAATTAGTACTAAAATGGTAGTAAATATTAAAGGACAACTGAAACATGTATGTATGTTACTTAATTATTTCACATATAAGTACAAACTTCTGTACCATTGTTAGTACGCAAACTAATAAATGTTAGTATGGAAACTACTAAAAATTTTACATGGGTATTGAGCGATTAGAAGTGTTAAAATAAATAAAT